CTCCCATATATTTTAAGCACACTGAGCATAAACATAGGCATAAACACATAGGAGCAGGTCGAAGCTTCACAAGCTGCTCCATTCTGTCTCTGCACTGACGTTGCACAGAGGGCTGGGATCAGTGCAGGGCAGCTTCCACTACAGGGCAAACTGCATCAGGCTGCACCAAAACCCAATGCACACAGAGTCAGAAGGGTGAAGTTAATGGAATGCTTCATGTAAACAGAATACCCTCAGGTGGATCTAACTAATCTTGTGTAAAGGGGCGGGCTCTGGAAATAGAGCTGCAAGCCAAGATTTATGAGGATCTCTGAACAAAAGAAAGGGTTGTTCCCCCTAAAGCCTCAGCTCAGCTTCTTAATCCTAGAATTACACAACTTTCCCAACAAGCTGCACAAGGTATAGTTCTTAGATACCACACAATGTAATCTTAACCTATCTGTGCTCTAAATCTGTCTGAAAAGCGTTTTTCATCCTGACTTCAAATTCATTTCAGAAATGTTTTCACCAGTAAAAAATTCACTCTGATTTGTTTCACTGTGTAGCCTGGCCTGGCATCCATAAGGATCCATGATGCAAAGGGGATTAAAAAGTTGTTTTCAATGAAACAATTAGCACTTTTTTGTTTGTTTGTTGAAAGTTTGGTGAATTGTCCTTCAGGAACAAGCCCTTACAGCCCTCTGCTTCTTCAAAGCAAACGACTTAATTTATACAGTAAGCTTCCCTCCTTAGGAAAGGGGAAAGTGTCCTCCAAAACTCAAGCAAAATATTTCCTAGGAGTCAAATACAAAAGCTTTTTCTTCAAAGCGGAAAGATAGGATGTACTTTAAAGGGATGCTGCCAGAGGAAGAAGAGAGAGTTCAACAGCAGGGTGAGCACAACTCGGATGCATGTGGCAGTTCTCCTCCTGGTGGCTGAACAGAAAGCAACCTCCCCCCGAGGGTGGGATGCAGAGGGGACCGAGTGCCCTTGTTTCATCCTGAGGTGAGAGAAGGGGATCTTCAACCAAAGACAGCACAGCCATCTTCATAGAAAAAGCAAGCAAAGAAACCCAGGGAGGTGAGGGGCTGAGAATCACAGCATGGCCTGGGTTGCAAAGGAGCACAGTGCTCATCCAGCTCCAACCCCCTGCTGTGTGCAGGTCGCCAACCAGCAGCCCAGGCTGCCCAGAGCCACATCCAGCCTGGCCTTGAATGCCTGCAGGGATGGGGCATCCACAGCCTCCTTGGGCAACCTGTGCCAGTGCCTCACCACCCTCTGGATGAAAAACTTCCTCCTCATATCCAACCTAAAACTCCCCTGTCTCAGTTTCAAACCATTCCCCCTTGTCCTATCAAAGTGTTCAAAGGATGCTTCGTTCCTGCCCAGGACCAGACCCCGACTCCTCTCCCTTTCCAAGGACAGCCACAAATGGAACAAGAACTTTGGCAGCACCGGATCACCATTGTATTTCATCCACTGTTAAATATCCAAGCATTCTGACACCAGACCAAACAGGACAGATATTTCTGAAGGTTTGACTTAGATCTGTATATGATAAAGAAAGGGGTCATGGCCTTATTTAGTGTTATCCTTGATAGCTGTAAATAAAGTAGGTACAGTTCCAACATCACCACTTGCAGAAGCACCCAGAGAATTCCCTCCTCTCCTCCATACATCACTAAAAGCAGCATGACAACCAAGTGCACCTTGATGGCAATGCTGCAACCAAGAGATTTTCCTGGAGCTCCAAGATTCAGTAATCTAGCCAGCATGTCAGATGTGAACCAAGTAAAGTAGCCCATGGGGGCACTCAGTTACCTGCCAGGCCATAAACAGCATCAGCTCCTCATCCTCCACAGAGCAGCTGTTTCCCTTCGGTCCAGCTTTTACCCCTGGCCACTTTCTGAATGATTGCACATGTTTATTTCAACTCCTTAGCTGTGTTCCTTACCTGCGAATGTAGTTAGCAAATGTCTGGGGGTTTTGTTTCTTGTTTTTAACTACTTGGCAAAAAAAACAGTGTGTCCTCAAGCAGCATTTAATTCAGAGCAATAGCTAGAGAGTTATTTAAAAGCAGTAAATCAGAAGGATGGCAAAACCAACTAAAGGATTTCCTTCCAAATTCTAACCTAAATCTCCCTCTTTTTTAGTTTAAAGCCATCCCCCCCTGTTTATCACCACCTGCCCATGAAGAAAGCTGTTCTCCCCATGTTTATGCACTCCCTTTAGGGCAATGAGGTCTCCCACAGCCACACTTTCCACCTGCAGTTCCATCCATGCACAGCTGCCCCAGTGCTCAGATTTGGCCAGAGCCATCTGAGATCATGGGAAACGGATCAGATAAGAGGCTCTCCTAGTGGATAAACCACCTGGCATTTGCAGATCTGTGTGCAGCACCTGGCAGAATTCTGATGGCACAAACAGCAAAGCATTTGCAAGGAGTACAAAAAATCAAGCAACCCTCCACTCAATACACACAGACCCAGGCCAGGCTTTGCCACCCCTTCCACAAGCAGCTCGTGCAGCAGCACCGATCAAGGTTCCAAGTGCTGCCAAACACCACAGCTAAGTGGAAAATGAAGAACAGGAAATTATCAGAGAGTGCTATTTTCCTTCCAAGTGTTGATGTTAACATCTCTCATCCAGCCAGCAAGATGGTAATGGAGATGAATGAGGAGGCAAAGATTTTCTGGGTTGGATTTTTTTTCTTTTTTTCAGGCTATGCAAACACAGTGTCATTTCAAACTTTACATGTGAGGCTGAAGACTTAAATCAGCTCTTCAAAAGCATTCTTGGATCCAAAACCAATGTGGAACACAATGCTAATATCATTTTCCTGCTTCAGCTTTACAAGCCAAGATGCTTCTGAAGTAATGTATCCAGGCTGGATGTGGCTCTGGGCAGCCTGGTCTGGTGTTTGGTGACCCTGTGCATAGCAGGGGGGTTGAAACTGGTTGAGCATTGTGGTCCTTTTCAACCCAGGCCATTCTATGATTCTATGGTAGTATTTCAGTGATGCACTTTTTTTCAGAAATACATATATTCTAATTGTTTACTTAAACTGATTTGGGGGCTTCATCACAAAATTAAAAACATTTTTTACTGCAGTGCTTCTGCGTCCTATGAGCTTCAACCTGCCTGACCTCTGTGGGGCACAGTCTTTTCTCTCCTGTCTTGTTCACAGCTAGATCCAATCTGCACTGGTATCGAGCTTTGCACACCAGTCTGCCCACACGTATTTGACCAATAACAGATGACAATACCCAGTGAAATATCTGCCTGCCTATGATGGGTAATCACCTGGGATTTAATCACAGCTGGAACCTGAAGTTTGTCACGTTCCAGAAATACATCTGTATTAGAGGTGTATTGAGAAGCAGCATGTGATGTTAAATAAATAAGTAAATAAAATAAAACCGTAACGAATCCCAGACAACAAATTCAAGAACACAGGCAAATAGCTAAATAAAGCATGATGGGAGGAAAAGGCTGTCTGCCAGAAGGAACTCACTCTCCAAGTTGAAAAAGAAACAGCATGTCAAAGCAACCTTTCATAACTCTCCCTGCTCAGATCACACAGCATCACAACCTCCAGACAACACATCCTGCCAGCAGCAGTTTCACAGCCACACCTGACACAAACAATTAAGGAGAATCTAACAAGTGTGTGCTGGGGCAAAAGAGACTTGCTTCAATGCCATCCAGAAAGGCTTGCTTAAATAAGCCAACCTCACAGCAAGCACTGAGTGTTGTCTACTCATTGGACTTCAACAAATTAATGAGCAATCACTTACTAATTCAATTATTGTTTATAAAGGAGGTAGAATTTTGGCACTGGTTATAAATTATGGCTAGTTAAGCAAATCATGAAGGTAAGTGCACTCATTGGCAACATCCTGAAATCTTCTGTGAGGCAAGAAAATCCTCCAGGAGGGAATTCCACCATCCCATAAGGGAAGCACAGAAATCCCCAGCTCTTGGGTCCCTGAAGTAGCAAATATCTTGAGGTTCAACTGACAGACAGAGGGTACTTTTGGGGAAACAAAAGCTCAGTGCTTATAAAGTCACAAGACAGGCTTGTTTTTGAAGGGCTCAGTTTAACTATTTATGTGCATGTAAACACACTTGTTTGCATGACACTGCTTGCATCAGAAGAGCCTCCAAATGTGTATTGCGAAGATTTTCCATCCTTGAAGTACTTCAAAGAGATTTTTGACTGTTCCCCTTAACCTGAAGTGTGCACAACAGCTGTGTGGAGCACTCCCATCTCTTTCCAACAGCTGAACCCAATCACATAATTTATAGAGTTAAACACAGAGTTTGTCATTAAACCTAGAGTGATAAACTACCCGATTACAAACGAGCTTCATTGCCTCACCTGATCCTGTCGTACGTACAAGTCAGATAGGGATTTTTTTTCAGTTTTATCCCCTTTTGTGCACGCACATTGGATACACCCTTCATGCTTTCACTTGTCTCCTCTTTTCCTGCCAGCCTAGGTGACCAACGGCACCACAATCTCCATACTTTCACCACTTTCACCGCCCAGCATTTCAAGGGTAGCTTTTAAAACAGTTTCATGGGAACGTGAAGAGATTGCCACCGAAATCAAAAACCCACTGATCTGAGCAGCAATTAAAGCAAAATCAGACAAAATCACCTGCATTTCCTCTTTCATCACTTCTGACAGGAACAACAGTCAAAACGCACTAAATTAAGGGCTGCGCACTACGTAAGCGTGCTGCTGACAAACCAGGCTGAGATGGATTTTTATTATGAACTTTTTTTTTTTTGTTTTTAATTATTGTTAAGATATGTCCATAGAAGAGCAGCCCCACCTGACCTCAGCCAGAGCAGCCACAGCACTTCCGAGCATAACTACTCCCAAAGCTGTACAACGTGCCCTGAACTCGCGTGGTTTCTTGGTGGCTGTGGGGTTGACAGTATGTTAAGAAGCCCTGCAAATCAGCCCCTTCTCTCTAGGAGAGCGCAGGAAGAACCTCCCCGCCATTACTTACAGTACACGTCCACTCGTATGGACTTGATGGCCGGTGAGCCCAGGCCGTTCTCAGCCTTGCAGTAGTAGCGGCCTCCCTGGTGGCGCTGGATGTTGGCTATCCGCAGCGTTTCATTGAAGACGCTCGAGTCTTGAAATCTGTCAGATGCACTTCCCGCTGTTTTGGTCCACCTGATCTGAGCAAGCATCAAAAAAAAAAAAAGACCGTTACTTGAAGCTGCAGGTTGGAGATCTCAGCGGCGGCTGGAGAGCCAGGAGCGTGGCAGAGATGTGGGGAATAACTCCAAGCCCCCGCTGGTGACACAGAGCTGAAATGGCTGCAGAAGAACTCCCCGTTAACAGACATCTCAGCGGGAGCACGTGCTGTGAATGCAAACCATGCTTTCTGAAATCGCTTCCATCAAAGGCGAGGGCGCGCTGGGAAGTACTTTCAGAACAGCTACCACCAAATCTGATGTTAAGCATTTGCCTGAAACTGCAAATGATGAACACCTATTCCTTCTTTGTTTTTTTAAATGCCTTTTGCAGCAAGTATAAATTCTTTTACTCTAGCAATTATTTTCCCAATGCGTAGACTTTATGAAGTGAACTGTTCAATTTCAAAGTCATCAAACTGCCCATAGCACCCAACAGCTGCCAGGGTCAGGAGTCTTGGGCCCAGCAAGGAAACAAAGCTCCCATGGTGCTGACTCAATAAAACCCATATAGCCCACTGAATAAAGCAAACCTCAGCCATTCCAGAAAGTGGCAAGAGACAAAATGTGCCATGAAGAAACTGCACCACCATCCAATGTAGGAATCCATTGCTCCCAGCAGCAATGTGGGCTGATCAGCGGTCACTGCAAAAGGCTTTTGCATTTAATACCCAACAGGAATGCAAACCCTCCATGAAAATTAGGCATCAGTTACTTGTAAAGTTAACCAGCAAACAAGCCAGCAAGGAGAAAGTCCTTGGAACTGACTTATTCCTCCTCCTTTGCCCTCTGAGGCTCAGACAACCATCACCCTACCACTGCAGAAGGAACTTTCTTTTAGGAAGCTAGAATAGAAGAAAAGCCAGGGTCACCAGTCATAAGGAAAAGCAACTGAATCACAGAATCAATAAGATTAGAAAAGATCTCAAAGATCATCAAGCCAAACCATCAAACCATCCCCACCATACCCACTAACCATGTCCCTAAATTCATGATGGTTGCAGCTTACATAAATTCTCTTCCCCTTGAAACAAGTGCAGGTGTGGCTTCGGAGGCTGAAATCACAGTAAGAAATATTTCATAACATTTTTCACCTCTTTCTGGCTTGTTAAAATCATAAGGCTGAGTGGCTTTGCCCTCTTGCCAGGTGACCTGTATAACTCTTACATGGTTTTGCTGCTTTGGAATAAAGCAAATATGCCAAACTCCACATCTACAACATTCAGACACTATTAGTGCTGCTATATTTACCAGCCTCAATCTGTCTGTACTTCTATTATAAACTCTTGGCTCTCAGGCTTTTAAATCATCCATATAAATGTGCTGCAGGATAATTTTGGAACACACAGTGTTCACATGCTGCAGAATACAATTTCATCATATATATATTTCAAATGCTTACAAACGATCTCAAAATAGTATTTAAGATACTTACTGAGACTCTCGTATGTTTTATTTCCCTCTGTGTAATCGTAACTATCAAAACAGTTGTGTTTGATTTTTAGATGGAAAAAAGGGGATGGCAAGATTTTGCTCTTCTTCCTATTCTTCTCACTCAAAGTGTTTCAAGTGATGAAATACAGCCTCTCCTAGTAAAGAACATGTAATCTAAATAATGTGTTGAAAGTATTAACAGCATCTAGATAATTCTATGTAATTTATATCAAAAATTACAGTAGCATTTCTATGGAAGATGCCACTTTTGCCTTTTATAATTGCAAACGCCTTCCAACCCTGAGCCTTAATCTGGATGTACCAATCTTCTCCTTGTTATGAAGTGTTTCAACAAGAATGTGTTTGGCTGTAAACAGACACAGACAGCTTTAAATATGAAGATATACATATATACTTCAGGGGCAAGAGGCATGATTTCAACTAAGTAAATAATTTTGTAGTGTGTGTGGAGACTCCTGAAGAATGAAAGGAGTAGTTGATCATCTCTTAAAAGATATTCAGCAATGTCAGTGGTCTGATTTCACTTCAGGTCATTATTTACCTTAGCTTTAACTCAACATACACAAGAAAACACTCTGATCAATACTGCACTGTAATTCATTGAATGAACTCAGAAGAATGGTGATTCTGAGACACGATGTGAATGCATTAATCAAGAAACCGGGCATCAGAATGCCAGATGTCTGAGCCTCAACAGCTTTTTTCATCGAGGTCCTCCACAGCTTCACTCACTGCAAGCTGTTGGGGTTACCTCTTAATCCATCCTTGGGTATGCAAGCTCTCCTCAATGCTTAACACAACGACCTTCATGGCATTGCTGTCACACAACCAACATCATTGCTGTCACACAACCAACATCATGCTGCTTTCAGGGTGGGGAGGGGTGGGAAAATGGGGACCGTGGGTTCATAGGACACCATGGCAGGTATTGGCCTCAAAACCCAAACAAGCATCTCTGCTTCTCTACTGCAGGGGATTCTAAATAAATAAATATTATATAAATATATATATACGTAAAATTATAATAAATAATCTATTTTGAAATATTTTTAAAGCAGATTAAGTGAGTATCCATATAGTTCAGGTACTGCATTTTTCCCCAATACTTGGCACAAAGCAACCCTTCAACCAGATGTACCTATCAGATACAGCTGTCAGCTTTGGCTGTGCATAACCTTCTTTCCTGCTTAGAACCCTGTTTCTAATGCAGAAGTAACACAGCACACCCTGCGTGCTATCCACACAGCGTGCATAATGCAGGAAGGAAATAAATTCTGTTTCATCAAGAGGTCAGAGCCATCTCTAGTCATAACACAAACTTTTTTAATTAAAGAGCTACACCTGCACATCATAGCATGCACAAACTGAACTAACAGATGTTAATCCATCACACAGATACGCGCTCACTTGCTTCTGAGGACACAGTTTCCAAAGCACTCACTGTTACCAATGCATATTGGGATATGTCACCCACACACCATCATTGTTCTGCCATAATTCTGGTCTTTAGTTAACAAATCACTCTTTCCTCTTCTTCTTATAAAACATGTGTATGTCAAAGACAACTTATGAACAATTCATTCACAATAATTCAGTCTTTATGAATGACTACATTTTAACCCATCTGGCCATAGCATGACTTAAATGGTTGTACCTACTTATGGTCAGCCTCTTCTCCCTCACAACTAGCAATAGGACAAGGAGTGGCCTCGTGTTGCACCAAGGAGATTCAGACTGATGTTAGGAAAAACTTATTCTCCAAAAGAGTGGTAATTCCCTGGGATGGGCTGCCCAGGGAGTGGTGGAGTCACCGTCCCTGGAGGTGTTCAAGAAACATTTAGATGTGGTACTGAGGGACGTGGTTTAGTGGGGAAATACTGGTGGTAGGTGGATGGTTGGACTGGATGACCTTGGAGGTCTCTTCCAACCTTGGCGATTCTATGATTCTATATTCCTATATCTTCCTCTGATTTGTGTATGCATTACTGTTCCCTGAACCATCAACACCTTTGGCAGCACTGGATTGGCTGAAGTGGATGCCCTGGTACGCACAACCATATTTCACTCTACAGCTTCAGTGCCCTCAGGCAGCATTCCTGCAACTGCAGACTTTACTTTTTGATAACTAAAAATGTAGGTGTGAAGAACTCCAAGAATACTTCGCCTGATTTTTCTCAGATTCTACCAACTAATCCTGCCCAGACAAAGCAGCAGATAAAAAAAATATTTAAGTTTTCAATAACATCTGCCAAAGATTGTATTACTGTCTATATATTTTCCTGAAGGGAGGTTGTAGTGAGCTGGGGGTCGGCCTCTTCTCTCGTGTCATTAGTGATAGGACCAGGGGGAATGGCTTCAAGCTACGGCAGGGGAGATTCAGGCTGGACATTAGGAAGTATTACTTTTCAGAAAGGGTGGTCAGGCACTGGAATGGATGCCCAGGGAGGTGGTGGAGTCACCGACTCTGGGGGTGTTCAAAGAAAGGCTGGATGTTGTGTTGAGGGACAAGGTTTAGTAGGAGCTATTGGGAATAGGTGAACGGTTGGACTGGGTGATCTTTTAGGTCTTTTCCAACCTTGGTGATTCTATGATTCTATGATTCTATGTATTAAAATATTTTAAAGTTTGCTGATATTTACTATCTTTAAAATCATATAATCTGAATTCTTATTTCTACAAAAACCAAACCAAATCAACAATAAAAACAAACCATGCCATCGATGGATTTTCTGAAAAATGCGTGGATTTAGGGTTTGGGTTGCAATCTGCTTTGGGTCAGTGCTTTCATCAGCTGGAGACAGGAGCTGAGAGGGGAGTATCAGCTCCAAGGAAACATCTTTCTCTAAATATTCCACCAGGTAGGATGGACAGTACAAGGGTGGATGGTGATAGGACAAGGGGAATGGTTTTAAAGCGAGACGGGGAGGTTTGGGTTGGATATGAGGAGGAAGTTTTTCAGCCAGAGGGTGGTGAGGCACTGGCACAGGTTGCCCAAGGAGGCTGTGGATGCCCCATCCCTGCAGGCATTCAAGGCCAGGCTGGATGTGGCTCTGGGCAGCCTGGGCTGCTGGTTGGCGACCTGCACACAGCAGGGGGTTGGAGCTGGATGAGCACTGTGCTCCTGTGCAACCCAGGCCATTCTATGAGTCTATGATTTTCTGAAGGAGAGGCCCAGCACTGGCACAGGGTGCCCAGGGAGTGGTGGTGTCACCACTCAATATTTTCAATAGATTTAGCACAGGATATTTTCATTCTTCCTTGGAAACAGCTGATAGAAAACAAAGTTCTGACACAGTCTGTTTTGTGCACTGCAGCACTGATATCGAACACAGTAAATACATGCCTTAAAATAGATACATCTCATGCTGGGCTGGGATCGTATGGCATCTCACTGCCACCAATTGAGCTGCTGCCCTCTGATATGGCTAAGGAAACAAGGATGTGGAGTCTCTCCTGACCACTGCTAAAATCCCCAAATCCCCACCTGAGATTAAAGTCTTTCTTTGCATATCAGCAGGTGTGACAGA